CTATAATTGAGAACAAAGCAATGCTAAAAAAATGTAAATGTGTGTTGAACAATATGAAGTGAAGGATATGAAGGTAAAAATGCCTTAAAGTTTAGCAATGTTTTCAAATTATATGAGCAATAACTTATTTCATAATACATCCAAACTTTGGGCACTCTAAAATTTGAGTCATTTTTCATCCTTTTCAGGAGAACCTCTTTCATCCACGCAGATTCTTTATCTTCTTGTTTAAATTCCTTAGATAAAATACTGTGGAACTGAAAAAACACTGAAATATGCTTGACAAGGTGTTTTAAAAACAGATTCGTAACAGGATATATGTGCTTTCTTAATATATTAAATAACAAGAGCTAACATAGGAACCAATAAATATTTAAAATCTTGAGCACTATAGAAGGTCTACAATTAACATTCATATGAATAGTTTTTGAATTTTAATTGGTAACAAGATCATAATATTATTGTTAGTATTATAAAATCTAGTGAAATTATATAATTTTCTACAATCTTTTTTACTCTACAGACCTCTTATTCATTGAAGAATGGAATATTAATCAGAAACTAAAATATCTCAGAATCTGTCACCTTCATTCATTCACTTGTTTATAGAGCATTTAATGTTTTGATCTCTATAATGTTAAATTTAGATGTTTCTCTTGTTCTTCTAGTTTCAAACTGCGATATTTCAGTTTATCAAATTGGGAACAGTAGGGAAAATTGCAACATCACTTGTCTATTTTGAATCAGAATAAATTGACCTAAATCATCCTCGGTACTTACATGATGAATTGTTCCACAAAGGCCTTGAGATGTACTGAACTAGAACTTAACTTGATGTGCAGGCAGGCTGTAACCCACAAGCAGAGTCCCACAGCTAAGCAACAGTTTCAGCCAATTATAAGCTTAAGGTTACAGATTTACACTTATGTAAATCAAAGGATTTCCTGTCTTCCTGGTTGTACAAGTAGCTCACTACATTGCAGGAGAGGACATTCTAAACTACAGTACTATTTGTTCTGGAATGCTGCTTGGCTTTAGACATTTTTTTATTCTTTTGTAAACTTTGTGAGCTTATCTATGGTACAAGTTTCCAGAGACAAAAGTAGGTTGCACACAAACATACTTACCTATGCCTATAAGTTCTTAATCATAAAATTACTAATATTACGCTTTATGTGCATTACGTGTGTATGCCATATGTAATGGGGGCGTAGTGTAATAGACACCAAGGTAGAAATGAAAGCTTAATCATAATTCTTCATAGTGAAAAGGTATAGTTGATGTGTCATATAGAAAAATTAAGGAGTAAAAAGAAAAATATACTAATTGGTCTGTTTTTTATCATTATTATGAAATCATTAATAAAAGCTCCTAAGTACTGCTAGTAAGAATGTAAATTGGTACAGCATATCAGGAAAGTAACCTGACACAGTATCTATATTTGAGACTTTTGACTTAGTAAGGATAGAGGTTATGAATACAAATTTTTGGGGAAAAGGAAAAGGATGATTAAAAAATAACTCAAGAACAAGAAGGGTGGTAAAGAGAAGAAAAGAATAATATGGAAAATTAAAATCAAACAAAATATTGAGAACAAAATATCTTTCCAATGTTCTCAGGAACTAGTTATCTAGATATCTTAACAAGGGGGTCTTTTGAATAAGTATAATGTTTGGAAACTATAGAAGCTGTTAAAACCATTTGCACCTAAATGGTGTAAAACTGTCTTACTCACTCGAGTACTCCGCAATTTTATTCTCCAGAAAGGATAAAACAGAAGTCTCAGGACTGCATATATTAGAATAGCTAATGGGGAAGAAAATACATACTTAGCGAATGCTGAAACTATCAGTATGTTTCCGGTAGCTGAATCACCTCCCATGGCACTGGAATATAAAAAGTTATACTTTTGTTCTAGCATAAAAATTTACAAAAAAATCAAACTGTTATCAAACCAAAACCATAGGCTACAGAAAACTGCATGAAAGATACAATTAAAAAGACAACAACATGGACAACAATTAGAGGGAACAGACATATTCATGCCGAAGCAAAAAATATGCATTCATAGTTTCAGAGTAGGTTCTAGCACCTTGAAACAACAATGAAAGATAACTTTTAGAAGGACAGATATAGAAGCTTCAGAATTTAAAAATATAATGAAAAAATAAAAAATTTAAAAAGTGCTTGGAAAATAGGTTTGAGTAAATATCCCAGAAATTGGAACTAAAAGCAGAAAGAATATAGGTTCTTAAAATTGAGAAAATGCAAAGTACTAACCAAAATGTTTCATATCTGCTGAGACTCCCAGAAAGCAAGAACATAGAAAAAGGAAAGAAAAGAATTACCAATTAAACAAAAACAAGAACATTTCCAAGAAATGATGTATGTGAGCTACAAAGGGCATGTAGTACTCTGTGCACAAGGGAAAAAATATACTCTGATGTGGTATTTCAAATATTTAAAAAGTCAGAGATTCGGTAAAATTGTACAAGCTTCTAGAGATAAAAGTCGGTTTCATCCAGACATACTCACATATATTATAAGTACTCAATAATGAAATCACTAGTATTATGCTTTAAATCTTTAAGTAAAGTGAACTAGATTCAATGGAATCATAGTGTGGTAGAAACTAATAAAGAAAAAAAGCTAAATGATCATCCTCCATAATGAAAAGTTGTAGGTAATGTGCCAAATAGAAAAGAAATCAAGAAGTAAAAAAGAAGATATATCAATTAGGATATAGCGCTTAACAACAACAACAGCAACAAAAAAACAATGAGGTAGCTAAGGAAATTGACAGATTTGAAAGAAAGGACTGGGAGAGAAAATTGTTCTTTCTACCATTAAATAATTCTCTGTATGAATAAATCATTTTTATTTAAAAATAATAGAAGATAATATATATACATTATTGATTTATTAATGAAAGCCAAAGATATAATTATTTCTGCTTACTACATAAATATGTATAGTAGCACAATTAGGAAATAATCAAAAAGTACAAAAGTGAGGGAAAATTCTACGAAACATTCCTTATCTGTATCATGGGATATTATGTACTCAAATACTTTAAAGAGTTTTAGCAATTTAAAAATCGTGTAAGTTAGTAATAAAAGAAAAAGAGCAAGAAACAAAGTTCTATATTCAACAGATTCAACTGGTAAATAACTACAAGGACACAAATTAAGATATGATTACCTTTGGAAAGTAGAATTACAATTTTTATATTTTTTTCTCTAACTTCTCTGTAGTTTAAAAGTGCTATATGGTGAGAAAATTTTCTTCCTTCATAAAGTTCTAAAATGTTAAATAACCTTTGAAAGTAGGATTATAGATTTTTCTATTGAATGTGTTTAATGTTCACTAGATTTTCAAATTTGATGAAAACCAGCAATGATAATTTGAACTCATGAACCTAATGTAAATGGTAATATGCTTATTATTTTTCCTATTTAGCTTAAATGAAAAAGTTTCTCAGGTTAATAGATAGTTTTTAGCTTTCCTTGGGAATAGAATTGGGGGTGAAGGGTTATAACTTGTCAGTAAGAAGCTTTCTTACATACAATAATATTATCTTCATAGTCTGTGATATAGTCAGAAAGAAGTTATATATTTCATTATGTTTTCAAATAGTAATTTATAACTCGTTTTGTAAATTTTTTTCAATACTCAAAGAGGTGAAGGTATAATTTTCTGAAAATGCATTTTCCACTTATAAAACTGATTTGAACAATAAGAATGCATATATTGGTGTTTTTGCTAAGCCAAAGGTGTAATAAGGATGCACAAAAGAAACACAAATAATTTACAGCTACAGGATACCACAGTTTCAAGATGAAAATTGAAAAACCAACCAATCTGTAATCTCTGGCCTGTGTGAGTTTTGTTACTGAGTTATTTCCCTGATGTTTTAACTGAATTGACTAAATCAGGTCATATAGATATTGTTCTAACATTGGCAGGTTGAATTGACTATGACATTATTTAGTAAAGATATGTCTGCAGGCACTGTTCCTAGCTTGGCAAAATTCTGTGTGTACCAAGAAAAAAAAATGTTTAATCAATAAGTCCATTCTTAGGACGGAAAATATCACACAGCCCAGCTCTGTGATAGGCTCAACTGTGACACGGACAAAAGTGTTTTTTTTTTTTCTTTTATTGATTTTATTGGTACATTTTAGTTATACAGTATAGTTACATTCATTATTGGGATCTTGTACCTTTACATGACAGGTCTTGGTTCTCATTTTTCCCCTTGTCCCTGCCCTCCCTTCACCCCCTCCTCCTCTCCCCATTTGCAAACACTTTATTTCCATTTATTCATTTTGTCATATTTTTTTCTTTTCCCTTATTACCTCTCCCCTACCCTTCCCACTTTTCCCTACACCTTTGGCCCTTTTCTTCCTATTTCACATGGTCAATTATCTAATTAAAATCTTATGTACTATTATAGCTTTTCACACCAAAGAAACTATTCAGTATTTAAACAATGTGTGACTTATTTATTTCATTTAAGAATATATTCTCAATATGTATTCATTTTCCTATGAATGAATCTAATTTCTCATTCCTTATGGCTGAGTAGTTATTCCATTTTATAGAAAACCATTTCATCTTTATCTAATTTCCAACTGATGGGCAAATGGGCTGTTTCCAAGATTTAGCTATTACAAACTGTGCCGCTATAAACATGGGTGTGCATATATCACTGTGATATGATTCTTTTAATTCTTTTGGAAAGATACCCAGCAAAGGGATGGTGGGTCAAATGGAACCTCTAGTCCCAGCTCTTTGAGGTATCTCCATATTGGTTTTCACAGTGGTTGCACCATCTGCACTCCCACCAGCAATGGAGAAGGGTTCCTTTCTCCCCACAACCCCACCAACATTTGTTATTGGTTGATTTCTTGATAGCAGCCATTCTTTGTGGGGTGAGGTAGAATCTCAGGGTTGTTTTCATCTGCATCTCTCGAATGACCAGTGACGTGGAACATTTTTTCATATATTTACTTGCTGCTTTTACTTCTTTGTCTGAGAAATGTGTGTTCATTTCAGAAAAAAGTTTTGATGGAGCCTTCTAGGTGGAACCCTAGTGTTTGAACTATTTGTAACAGGGAAATCTATACTATGTAACTGTATTCATTTGTGAGCTCCGACACATAAATGCTGTGCCAAGGAAAACTCAAGTAGACAGGGAAGGTCATATATCTAGAACTTAGCCTTTCATCAGAGACAAGTTCTTTCTGAATCAACAGGATTCTATAAGGATAATTATGTTTCTACTGTGTAATGTGCTTTCATAGCTGTGTACGTAGGAAAAGAATGCAGATTTCATACCTAGATGTGCTATTTTTTAAAAATGAACACAGATAAAATATAAAGCTCGAACACATAAATCAACAATGATGAAATTATTGACCAAAACAAAATTATAGCCTGCCAATATATGGAAGTGACACAAATCTTCCCCTTATTTAATTGGATTGAGAAACTCACAGTATAAACTTCTGTAGCCTTTTGGTGCAGCACAATGATGGTTTGAATGTGTATTTCCATTCGCTGTGCGACAATTTATTTTAGAATCATTTATCCAATTCGCCTTTTCTCTAGGCAATAATTGGTAGCAAACTTACTAAATTAATAATAATTGTTTTACTTAGTTGAACCTGTTATTGTCACATGGAATGTTTTTGGTACAGCCTTTGATTATAAATTTCCTTTCTTTGTGTGTTTCTGATTTAGCTAACTCGATAAGAGAAAAAAAGATCAAAATGCCCTTTTTATATAGGAGTACCATGTTATCAACACAACTGTCACTGAACCCAAAAGAAGAAAAAAATTCTTGATTTGGGGAATGACTTGTTCATTGGAAACAAATTACTTTGTTTCCATAGATCATCTTAATATGCACTGTGATTTATTTTTTGTGTTGCTGCCACTACTTAAATAAAAACATCCTTCAAATATATAGGGAAAATAATCCACTATGATGACCTTTCTCAAAGTTCACTGACAGAAGCAAGAGATAACAAGCTTTTGTTAAAGTATCCCTATAGTAATAATAATGGCATACCATCGATTTTTATACAAAAGGAGATACTATGACAACAAAAGTTGCTTCTCCACCTAGAAAACAAGAAAAGAGACTTTATTTCAAAAGCTGAGTAGAAGTCAGTATTATAAGTAGAATTTTAAACCAGGTAGTATGTTCTAAAATAACTTAAAATAATGTTTAGTAATACTTTCAGAAATTCCTATTAAAGAGCTATGCTTTGAATATGTTAATATTTTGTCAGTATATATTTACTGAATGTCTACTGCTCATGAATTATTGTACTGCATCCTTTTAGAAAATTATTATCATTATTATTATTTGTATCACAGCTCAAAATAAGGACTTTGTGTTTTCGAGACAGGCAGCAGCACCACTGAGCTAGATCTCTGGCCCTAGAAAATTATTTTTAAGCAGCTACCATGCAAACTTACTTTTGCTGGGATATCTTTAAGTTCCATCATCCTAGAAGGTACCAACATGTCAAGGATTAGACCAAGAATTCAGTTTACAAGTATCAGTTAAGATAGTCAACACATGCTCACCATTAATACGTTGAATTTAAAAGCAGGTGGTATGATCAAAATATACGGTAATGCTTGCATTTAAATTTTTGCAGTAAAAGACTGTCATTAATATTTTTTGACTTATTTTGCATATTGTTACTCTAGATCTTCTTTGATTAATCAAACTTAATATTTTTACTCATTCCTTAATTGAGACTCTTTTCTCAAATGCTTTACCATCCAATTAAAGTTCTGAAATGAGTTGCAACAGAGAGTGAACTATAAGAAAGATCTTGTAACAATATTCTTGGGGTTACGAATGTAAAATTCTTTTTTTTTATTGAATACTAACTTTAAAAATGTCGTTTGCAGTGAAAATTTCTGATAATTATCATGAAGTCACACTTAATAATGCAGTGTTTAGTAGTAGAGTGAGAGTAATTATCAGATGATATTCCCCATAGGCATTTTCTAGATGTATTACTGAAAAAAAATAACTGTAGATGCCAAAGGTGTGATCAGATGGAGCATGAGCTACTAATACACACTGTCTTTGATTGGTTTTAAAAGACACTGATAAGTTATATGCATATTTTAATATGAATTTACTTATGCAAGATAAGAGTGTTTGCATTCATAATAATTTTTGTGAAGATGAATAATTTCAACATCTAAAAAAAGATAAGCGAATTAAAGAACTGTCACACCGAAAAGCAATTTAAGAGATCATTATGACTAAACATGTTATGGTATCCTAGAACCTAAATTGATATTAGGTAAAAACTTTTTGAAAAATGAGTAAACTGTGGCTTTTAGTTCATAAGTGATGAACACTGTTTCAAAAATAAAATAAGTATATCCTACCAATACAAAATAATGGAGAAAAATAAGTGGAAACTCTTTGTACTATAATATGCATAATTTCTATAAATCTGAAGTTATTATAAAATCTGAATTGTACTTTAAAAAAGTAAACAGAGGGTAGGAACAAGGGGAAAAAATGAGAACCAAAACCTGTCATGCAAAGGTACAAGATCCCAGTAATGAATGTAACTGTACTGTATACCTAGAATGTACCAATAAACTCAATAAAAAAAGTAAGCAGAGAAATCCCATTTTTACCACCTAACATTTTTGTGTTTGTAGTCAAATATGAGATGATTAAAACCTTCCACTTTAATAATCCTTCATGAATGCAAAATAAATGCGAATATTGGCACATGGAATTTATACGGGACTTCTGCTTGTGAAAACTACATAATCATTTATTGTTTTCTTTAGCATTGGGAAGTATTAATATTCAGGTTATTTCAACATCAATAAAAAGTAAGCAGAGAAATCCCATTTTTACCACCTAACATTTTTGTGTTTGTAGTCAAATATGAGATGATTAAAACCTTCCACTTTAATAATCCTTCATGAATGCAAAATAAATGCGAATATTGGCACATGGAATTTATACGGGACTTCTGCTTGTGAAAACTACATAATCATTTATTGTTTTCTTTAGCATTGGGAAGTATTAATATTCAGGTTATTTCAACATGGAGAAATTAAGAAAGATAACTTTCTACTAGTCTTAGGCTACAATAAAATTATTTAGCATGTTACAAGATATAATTTACTAAATGGACCATGGCTACTCAAAGTAATTCCTTTATGTATTTCTTAGGATTTTTAAAGATCTGTTACCTAAAAGTGAGCAATTTACACTATCAAGAGAGTAAGCTCCATTACTGGTATCAACTGTAAAATGGATTTAATTAATCAAAGTAGAAGTGCAATAAAAATGCAAGCATACCACATCACATTTCCAGCGCCTTGTTTACTGAAGCCTTCGCTGCTTGTGGCAAACTGCAAAGCAATTAAGGACCAGAGATGCTCAGATGCAATATGGCTGTGAATACCAATGGAGACACATGTCCACAAAGCAGGAAGCAACATTAACAAAGTGAAAATGAAAATCATTTCTGATGTCCAAATCTCTTTCCAATTTATTTCCCTTATTTCTGAATTTCAGTTGGTCCCTGCTGGCCTACTGGCAGTATTCCTTTGGATTCCATAATATAACGAGGGTCTCTAGTCCCAAATGTGATCAAGCACATTTTCTTAAACACAGAATCTACATAACTGAACAATTTAGCTTGTATTCATATTGCTTCGATGCCAGAATAGAAACTCCACTCTGTGGACTTTGAGGAGTCTCCACTTTGTGATTTAGAGGAAAGTCACTTTGTAACTAAAGTATTAAGGTCATCTGCTTGGCAAAGTTAGTGCACTAGAGGAGAATCAAGGTGTCCTCGAGGGTCACACATGAACACCAATACAAAGGTAAAATATATGAATATGTATATAAATAACTACATTGTGAATTTATAACTAAATGATAGGATCTGAGACCACTGTCTTCAGAATGACCTTACCGACACTTCTAAAAATAGTCATATCAACTCTCCTCATCTGCCTTACAGAAAATAGCTAAAGACAGCTTCAAGGCAGGAACTGTTTTAGTGGTTATGATTTTCCTTATACATATCGTTGTGTACGCCTCTGGCCAGATCTGAACATAAATACTTCACATTGGAGATCTTTCCTGGGCAGAAATAGTAGGATGCTGCTGACACTTTCTATACATATGCATTGGTATCCACTACTTGAAGTTACAAAATCCCTAATCCCAAATAATTTATATCCTTTGGCTGATAAATTTTTTATCCATGTTAAAATATTTAAGAATGGTAGTATGTTAATGATTCTATTTTTGTATCATTCTATGCACTTTCATTTGAAATTTATTTTTCTGCTTAACAGCAGTCTCAGTGGTTGTGTCAGAGAGTTCATATAGAAAAGCCATCATGCTTTTTGGTTTTTTGCTAATTAAGTTACCTTTCATAGCACAAATTTTTCCTGGTTCTCTAGATTTTTTTCACCTTGGAAATAACTGCTATTATATATCATGTCATTTCTTTAAAGTTATCCCTCAATAGTACCTTTTATCAGTTTGTTTCACAGATGCTTTATTCTTTGAGTTAAGCCTATGTCCTTGTTATTTGAGGTTTCCCATATCAATAAAGCATGCTAGTGTTTGTAGTATTGCACCCATGTAGGTATAAAATGAACTTGCATTTGTCACCATTACCAGTTCACATCTCCACTTAAACATCTAAGCTAAACTGCTCTTATTAGTCAATTCAAATTTCATATCCTGCTTAAAATGTCTTCATCTACAAATATAAAGTTTAAAAGGGGCCAAGTAATTATTTTAAGTTATTAATTGAATTAAAATATTTGACATAATCCAGTTAGAAAAGACAGGCATAAGGCAAATTTAAAATATGAAATAATAGTAAAATAATTTCTATTAGAGCATATATATGTATAGTAGGATATAAGAGTATGTATGTATCTTTGTTAACATCTTTTTTAACATTTCATGCAATCATGAATGTCAGGTTTATAGAAGTAATATGTAAGATGATCCCACTACTCACTGAATGTTTGCATTTCTACAATCTCTTGGCAAATAATTCTCAAACTTATGCTCAATTTGGGTCCTGAGGATTCTTATTCAACGCATTTGTTTCTAGTGTCACATTCAAATGACACATTCTTAACAAACTGCGTAGTGCATTTGTCTGCAGGTCCACACTTCTTCATCTGAAATCTTTGAAGCCTTTTGTGTATCTGAATTCTGAAATATTAGGTTTGTAAAATTGCAGTATACAACATATCCAGCAATATGTGGGGTACTGCATCAGAGCCAAACATCTGCGTCACACACATACATATTCATATTGAGCAGCACAAAGAACATGAATGGGCTCACGTCAATTCAGACAAGTTGTGCTGCCAAACAAGTTCAGGTCTAGTTAGGCTTTATGATTCAATAATTTATAAAACAGTTCCTGTTTTCTGAGATTTATGAATTTCAAAATTATAAAACCATGATCATTATTTTTTATTTCTCTCTTTGTATTATGTGATAAAATTATGCAATAATATTTTGAAGAAAATTTGTTAATATTTGCTTGCTAAACATTTCTGAATGCCAAACATTATATAGGTTTTTTTAAAAGCTAGTAGACAGGTGACTATTAACATTCAACCAGGTTGTCTCTATTCAAGCTAAAGCCACAAAGCTAAACAAAGACTATAGGAACAAGATAGTCCAAATCCAGAAGTAAATGACAGTACACTTACTACATTTTCACTCCATTAGTAAAACTGTCCTTGATTCTACCTCTCATTACTATATGATTTTAAATACTTAATTTTATATATTATGTTCATTATTATAGCAATATATAATACATAGAATTATAACACAAAATAAAAATTTAAAAGGACAGAAAAAGCACCAATATATATAAATATTTAGCATTTCTCAAATCCACTGGATTGAGTACTCTTGTGATTTACTTGCTTGTTACAAAAACGTAATCCATACTTCATATCCTTCATGTTGTGTCCTAAACCTTAATACCAAGAGTGCGAGATAGGACACAGAATGATATTTCCCAAATTTTAAATATATGCCCCTGGTGATACAAATGGTGATTTTAGTTGACATGTAAGTCATATTTTTCATTTAATAATTATTTAGCAATTGAAATTTTTAATAAATTTACTTAAAACCTTTCATTGATCACTTTAATGTTTGTGTTGACATTAAACTTGCTTTCTGACATTTTGCTTATGTTAAAGATGCTTTATAAATCTAATCAACTTGGAGAAAACTATTACTTTGTATTTAAATAACAAACATTTGGTGATCAAGAGAACGATTAAATTATGGTTTTTGGATGACAGAAATTTGGGAAATAAATCATCTGGCTAAGAATGTAGACTCTAAAGAGTTCTAGGTTTGATGATTGCTTTACATTAACTATGGAGAATAGCTAGTATAATAGCTGATCCAAAATGAAAGTCCAATGAATGCTTGTGCTAAATGAAAAGCAAATAATCATCTGTTCAGCACATCTCTTTTTATAACCAACCAGCATAAGGTCAAATACAAGGACAAATAATATGTAAAGAGCTTTAGTGCAAAGGATCAACTACCCCTGTCCTGGGTTTGTCTTTATCCACTCAACAAATAGAAACATCACATTCTGCCTACAATTCTTTCCTTTTTATAACATGTATATATTTTCAATACATATCATTTGGAATCATTTTGAGGAATTGGTATATATGTACATGGTATCTTGATCATTTCCAGTCCCACCCTCTCCTGTCTTATCCCACCCTTCTGTCTACATGTTTAGAAGCAAGAAAATAGTTTCCCATTCAGTGCATTACAATTATTAGATGGCTCAGTGCTAACTAAAGTACATGAACATAGAATGTACAAGTGAATCATAACTTAGGAACAACAACTAAAGCAAGAACTAACCACTTATAGACATTGTATTTGTTTATTTTATTATATTTAATTGAAGTTGTTATTGGGGAGTATCTAGCTTTATATTATCTTCATCAGCCTTGAACTTGTCACAAAAAAAAAACATGTAATTTAAACATCAAACAAACCACGCAAAAAACAAATCAAAACTGCCAATTCCTAAAGTAACTTTCACATATTTCATGATGAGATAGTACCATTGTTCTGAAGAACATAGAAGGAAAATGAGCATTTTGTAACTTTAAAACATGGGGATTTTCTGGGACAGAAAATAAAGAATTTGGTAAGCATATGCTTTCAAATCAAAAGTCTAAAACCTAACCCCACTGAGTATTGTGCAAGTCCTCCTGAAAACTCCAAGGGCTGCTTGAGACATGAGAAAAAAATTTTTCCAAAAATTAATTTCCAATCTCTTAAGACAAAACAATTTTCTTTCTTTAAATATTTTAAAACACATTCCTCGGGAACTAATCTGAACATTTAAAGACTGTGATAGTTCCCTTATATCTCATTAAAACTGCTTAATTGATATTGACATAAATTTCCATTAGAGATTAACCTTAAAAGACATGTAACAGCCCCTTTCCTTGCAAGTTCAACGTATTTTTTTGTGAATCTAAATCCAGCTTGATTGGCTTATGACCGGTTTTTCTTTGCACATTAATCCCACCTCTGGTGAATTTTATTAGCTCTGGGATCCCATACACATGGATAGAGTGGGCAAACTATTTATTGTTATCAACAGTGCATAGTGTGTACTTTTCCACTTTTATTTTGTCTTTCTTTCTTGCTTGCTTGCTTTTTGAGATTGCATTGAGAAGAGTATAATAAACTCATTGAAAATGCTGATAAGGACTGGGTGGATGATGTTGCTTTTCCTTTCCTCCTTCAAATATCATACATTCTCCATTGCCAACTGAGTATGACAGTGAAGGGTACAATCATCATTTCCTTGGTTCCTTTTAAGGAATGTCATTGTAAAATATGTTGAATTTTCAAGACTCCATCCTCTAGATTCTAATCTTCATTAGGCTCTATTGTACTATTTATGGCCCTATTTACTCACTCTCCATTTACTTAAATTAATTTCTTTACATTCCTGAAACTTAGAGTCAAACATGGTCAGCCTAAAACCTTATTCTTCCTAATAACAGTACTTTTCTGGGCTATCACTTCATAAGCTGGGATCCAGAAGGACAGTGTGCTTATTATTTCTCAGAGCCAGCAGACATGCCTTTTCAGGGCCAGTGCACCTGTTTGCTGTTCCTTCAACCTGCAATGCTCTTTGCCACATTACATGGCTATGTCCTGTCCTCTAAATTCGGCCTTCTCAGTGAGATTTTCTTAGGCCCGTGTCTAAAACAACAACATGCTTTAAGTTTCTCTCTTGATTCTTTTTTCACCTTATAAAAATGTGATTCAAGTTAAGAAATAATGACAGATTCATAGT